AATGCCACATCACTTCATTGCATACTTATAGATTTGCAATAGATTTGCAACACACAAATCGACCATTGCAAATACTCCCATCAAACGAGTTTGTACCGCAACCGCAATTTGCAATGGAGTCTATTCCGTTGCGTTTTTTTTGGAAAAAAAATTAACTTCTTTTTTTTTCAACTTTAGAAAATCATTTAAAAAAAATTATTAAGGAAAAATCCATTAACTAGTATTAGTTTTAAAACGTGGTAGAAAAAATATTACTTATTAATTATTTGTGACTAGAATTGTGTTCAATTATAGTCACTAATAGTTACTAAACAATATTTTTGTCAATGACTTATTCATTAGAAATATAAAAAAAAACCTTTTATTATTAATAATATATATTTTAAATATATTTTTTACATAAATCATCAGAATTAGGTAATCCAGCTACTTTAGTCAGAACTTTTATAAGTTCAACATCGATTCAGTCGATTTTGGTATTACAAAATGGTTCTAAATTAAGTACATAAAAAAGGATTAAGAGTTCGTCTGGTGACTCAGTTTTTCGGCTTATCAACCAACTTTTTAACCAAATACGTAATTTTTGATTTCGCGTGCTAAATTTTGTAGTAATAAGAAAAGTAAGATTGAAGTTACATTTATGACTATATTGGTTGAAGTTACTGTAGATAATCATTTTAGCTATTTTTCATACGGAGTATATTTTTTTCATGTATTTTTTCTTTATTTTATTAATAAATTATATTTTAAATATAATTTTTTCATAAATCAACACAATCAGCCAATACAGCCACATCAGATAGAAATTCATAAATTTCAGCAGAATCAGCCAATTTAATTAAACTTTTATTGTTTAAAAATCCGAATAGCAGAGCAGCGGGAAGTGAAATATACTACCGCCAATTGCCCCCAAGTCTCTAACTTTCCAAATTTTTTCCGAAACCCTAGTTAGCGTATCCCGTCTACCTCATACCCCAACCAAAACTTGTTTACGGCACTCCTTCTCTGCGCTTTTCCTTCTCTGCATCAAGCAGCGTTTTTCGGATTTCACTGCAAACCAGATTCTCTTTCCAGAAACCCTCTGTTTTAGGCTATCAAGTAAGCTTTTCTTCTCTGTTTGAGTTAATCTGTTATACGATGTATGCTTGAAGTTGTTCTTCTTGGACCTGGTGCAATAAAGGTGGACCGACTTCTGAAATTTAGGTCAAACCTTCAAGCCGATTTTGTTTTATAATTACCGATATAAGTTTTTTTCTTTGGACAACTTGGTGCTTGTGGTTGTCTTGATAAGATTCTGATTTACTACTTGTACTCATGATGTTGAATGTTGAATGTTGACGAATTTTGGGAGTGGGAGACAAATTTTGCAAGAAATTGACGAATTCGGATTGTTGAATGTTGTAGAAGATGATGCTGAGGAAGTGAACAAGGAATGCAGCAGTATTTGTGGATGGAGAAAACGGAGCATCTTTTGGGATTTGCCCTATTGGAAAACTAATCTCATTCTACATAATCTTGATATCATGCATATTGAGAAAAATTTCTTTGAGAGTGTGTTTAACACCGTAATGAATATAAAGGGAAAGACAAAAGATAATGCGCAAGCAAGGGAGGATATGAAACTTTTCTGTAATAGAAAGGAGTTACAAAGGAACCCCCTTACAGATAAGTACCCTAAAGCATGTTATTCATTAGACAATAATCAAAAGAAGGTCATATGCGAATGGGTAAAGAGTTTGAAGTTCCCAGATGGGTATGTTTCAAATCTTGGAAGATGTGTTGATATGAGCAAGCATAAATTGTTCGGCATGAAGAGTCATGATTGTCATGTTTTTATGCAAAGGCTAATGCCAATTGCTTTTCGAGAGATGTTGCCAGTTAAGGTATGGGAAGCACCAACTGAGCTCAGTCTTTTCTTCAAGAACTTAACTGCAACAACAATTAAAGTTGATGACATGGCTAGATTAGAAGCCGAAATTCCAATAATTCTTTGTAAGCTGGAGAGTCTACTTGTGCCTGGGTTTTTTAACCCGATGGAGCATCTACCCGTGCATTTGCCTTATGAAGCTAAGATCGGTGGCCCAGCACAATACCGATGGATGTATCGTTTCGAAAGGTAAAATTTATGATGCTTGATAAAAACATTAATTCCCCATTCTGTTTTAATAGCTAAGATGTTAATTTCTTTTTAGATATCTACATGAGTTGAAAAAGGATGTGAAAAATAAAGCTAAAGTTGAAGGATCGATTTGTAATGCCTTCTTAGTTCGTGAAGCATCTAGTTTTTGTTCTAATTACTTCGAGCCACATGTTTATACTCGAAACCGTAAGGTTCCTCAAAATGATGATGGCGGAGGGAGTGACGACATCACAGATACTTTGTCAATCTTTAAGCATTTTGGCCGTTTTAGTGGAAAAGTAAAGAAAAGAAGGTTGACCAAAGAGGAATACACAGCGGCGCATACGTAAGATTCAAGTCAAACTCAAAATATATTATATTAGGTTTCGATGTTTTAAATTTTAATAATATTCCTTTAATGATTAATAGGAAGTATGAGCAATTCTTGAAGGAATTTAGTCCTGATATAAGTGAAGAAAGTCTCGCAAGTCAAGTGGAGCAACACTTTGCTTCTTGGTTTGAAGTTTATGTAAGAGTTTGAATAAAAAAGTTATAAACTTATTTTTTAAATCATTACTATATTATCTCATATTGTATTCTTTATATCATAGGCCCACGAAAACGAAATTGGAAATACATATATACATATATATATATATATATATATATATATATATATATATATATGATTTGTCTAGAAGACCACTGGCAACAGTGAAATCATATCCCGTGTATTTCATAAATGGGTATAAATTTCACACAGAAGCATATGGTGTTAATAGATCGACAATGAACTATGGCATTTGTATAACTGGAGCATATGGTGATTACTACGGAAAGTTGTTGGAAATACTAGAAGTTGAGTACCCAGCTTTGCCACTGAAACGTACTGTGTTGTTTAAATGTGAATGGTATGATCCCACTCCTAACATTGGAGTAAAGGTTCACAAACAATACAATTTGGTGGAACTCAATCAAAGGAGAAGGTTCAATAAATTTGAGCCATTTATTTTAGCAACGCAAGCTTCTCAAGTTAGTTTTGTGTCTTATCCTACCACACAATGAGGCAAATCAGATTGGGTTGCTGTATGTAAAATTAAACCAAGAGGGTGGATTGATAACTCGGTTACAGAAACTGGTCACTCAAAAGAAGATGTGTTTCAAGAAGATGAGTGTGAAGCAATTCAAATCACAGATTCTACAGATGAGTCAATTCCTACATTATGTGATCCAAACATTGATATGGATATTCCCGATGGAGATTCTGAAAATGAGGAGGAAGTGAATGAATTTGTATCAAGTTCATCCAGTAGTGAAAGTGAAGATGAGAATGATTATAATTCTGATAGTGATTAGCAATATAATCGACAATGAGATAGAAATTAGCAACAAAATGCCTTTATTTTTTACATATCATTGATGTTTTTTACATAACTCTGATAACTTTCTGATTGGAGCTGACTTTTAATGTTTTTATGAACTTGTGTAGCCATTAAATTCTTGTTATGATTTTTAACACCGTGGTATATTACTGAGATATTTTTATTATTATTTAAGGGTAATGATATATATACATAGAGGAACAGATTTTTGTTGTGATTGGAGCTGATTATATTAGGTAATGACTAAGTTAGACAGGAGTAGCTGTTACAGCAACATGGATAGAGTTGAAATGAACACTTAATAATTAAAAGTTTCTGAATTAATTAATTAACTAATGACTAAGTAAACCGAGGAAATATACAGATCAAAAAACATCCAGGCCACACTAGAAAATAAGAACTTTGTGGAAATTTATTAATCCGGGACATGAATGATTGACTAACTCTAAATCAAGAACCTTAGAGATAAAAATTATCGACATAGGACTCGAATGACTGAGAGCTATCAATTTAAGACCTCATTTATAAATAGATTTTGATTTTATCATATTGTCATCTCTTGAACTTGCAAAACTTTTTTTTTTATTTTTTTATTTTGGTACTATATTTGCTAGGTGGCTCGGTATTTTGTGACTTTAAATGGCAGCATATAAACACAAAATGTAGTCATTTTTTGCAGGAAAATGTCTAAGTTGCCACCATCTGGTCAAGGACTAACCAAACGTAAGCGACCAGCAACTCTAGTGCCCAGATTTGTGAGTCGTGTGCCATCACCATCTACTCAATTATTTGGTTCCTCGTCAGCTACTCCACCATCATCCAACTCCATCACTTGGTTCATCGCAAACGACTCCCCAAGTTGGCTCATCATCTACCAGTCCACCACGTGATTTATCACAATCGACTCCATCACCCAATACCTCCGCTCATGCCGGTACTGATACAACTGTCTCAAATAATAATTCAGAGCAACCACTACATGTTATTGGGTCTATAGGATCAAATGGTCGTTTGTGCATTGGAGTTAAAAAAAAGCAGTAAAGTGTTAAGCTTATAAAAACATGTTATATAAATAAATTATACTTATTAATATTCATTTCTTTATCTGATAGTAATTGTTTCAAATTATATTTTTCATCATACAGATTACTTCCTTCAGAAGAATGTTCCCGAAAGATTACTTCTCTTTTCAAGGAAAGGGTTGATCCTCATGGTTACTCTTGGGCTAACTTAAGTGAAGATATAATAAAGTTTTATCGGGATGAGTTTAAGGTACTTTTTCAATCATTTATCTTATACTCTATATTTTTAACTTTGAGCAATCAAGAAAAAATAATTGGCACCGAGCAATTATTATATTTTAATTGACTTATATTAAATTTACAATGAATTGTAGAAGCACTGCTATTGGAATCCTATAATAGAATCTTCAATAAAGGCAGCGTGGACTTCAAAAGCTAAACAGAGATATTCCAATTATCTCAGTAATATGAGAACAGGAAGGTGTGAGAGGAATTCATCAATCACTCAAGAAGTTTGGGACAGTTGGATGAGTATGTGGAGTAATGAAGAATATCAGAAGAAATCTAACCAAAGCAAAAAAAATAGGCGTCAAGGTGAATTAGAGAAGCCTGCCCCCTCTACTCATACTAGTGGGGCCATATCTCATGCCAAAGTTGCTAGTGAAATTGTAAGTTTATTTAAACTATATATGCCTTGAGTATGCATTTTAATAGAATATGTGATTTGAATATATTTTATTCATTCAACATGTCCAATATTGTGATGCATATGATATTTATTGTTTGATTATTCTAACATTGTACGTTAATAATTATTATTATTATGTAGGAAAAGAACTCCCAAACTACAGTGACAAGTTATCAGGTTTTTGTGTATACACATACAAAGAATCACGATGGAGAGACTTTTATAAATGATCAGGCTAAAGAAGTGAATGTAAGTATTTTTGAAATGTTATTAATTTTTTAAATAATTTGCGATGCTCTTATATTAATTCAATAAAATATTATAGGAGGAATTTGTTTCACGTCGTGAGGAGCTAATTGATATTGGTGAGGAAGTGGATGATGATGAGTTGTTCTATGATGTTGTTGGTGGACGTGACTCAAAGAATAGATTGTATGGAGTTGGCTCATATGGTACACAAAATATTCCTAGTAAAGCTTCAGAGTATTCTTCTGAAATGGACACTTCATCATCACAATCTACTAGTGCTGAAGTTAATCATTTGAAAGCTGAGGTGGAACGTTTGCAAAAAACTGTGGAACAACAGAAGAAATTTCAACAACAAGCGGAACAAAAGCAACAGAAAACGGATGATGTCATCCGTGCTTTACAAGAACAAATTGAAACTTTAGTTCGTGATAGATAGAGTTCTTTTTAAGATGATAGTCGGTTTTAATTAGTCATTTGATTAGTAGTATTCTTAAAGACGTATTCATTATTTGAGACATTACTATTGTTACTAGAAGGTCAAAGAGCATATTCTTTATAGTTTAGGAATTTTTTTATTATTTGAGACAATATTAATGATATTCATCGTTGTTATGACCTAGTTGTACTGTTGTATGGTTTAAGAATATTAATTTATGTTGCCCGCAAAAAATGTATGTTGTGATTGCTTTTACAAAATATGTGCAATAGAAATTTGCAATGAGCATTTATTGCAATTCGGCCATTAACATTGCAACAAAAGTTCATTTCATTGCACTTTTGCAACGAAAATCGCAATGCAAAATAAACTTAACTATTGTTAAACCCATTGCAACTTTGCAACGTAACCTGCAACAAGGTATATGATTTGTTGCAAACAATGCAAGTGAAATTGCAATTAAAGTTTTCATTGCATTATTTTGCAATGGAAAAACTCATTGCAATATTAGCAATGGAAATTGCAACAAAATAAGATTGTTGCAAAGAAAACGCAACGGAAATACATGTGTTGCTTTTATCGTTGCATATAATTGCAACGGATTGAATCAGCGTTGCAAATAATTGCAACGACGTGTATAGCAACCGATTTTTGTCCATTGCATTTGTTGTTGCAAAACACAAATTGCAACGGAAATTGAACATTTTGCAATGAAAATGTGCATTGCAATCTAGCATTTTTCTTGTAGTGATCGGATCGAACCGTTCGAAAATAATGCATTTGAATTTTTATATTTTTTCTATACCAATAGATCTCTTTAATAGACCATTTTATAGCCTAAGTATGTATTCATGTGTTCCTAAGATATCTAAATGAGTGCGATTATATATATATATATATATATATATATATATATATATATTGTTATTTTTTCTTTTTAGATAATTTATTTATGTTATACTTTGGTATGTATTGAAAGAATATTAATATTTTAAAAATCATTAATGACTATTCATTTCTATTAATGTAATGTACATGACTTTTTGTTGTATCATGTTTGTGCAATTTTTATAACTTAATTAATATGGTGTGAATCTTAGCTCTCAAGGTTCAACTATAAATTAAATTAGAACTACGGAGTAATATTTAACCTAGAACAAAGAAGAAGAACATTAGAGATTTCTATTATATTCAACAATTTGATAATATTCATTTTTATATTTTCACATTAACTTAGTAAATTAAAGATGATATTTATCTCGCGTGTCATCATTTTGCTATACTTTTTCTTAGTTGTGTTGCACTATTTGCGTGTGATGGAGTATATGGGTCTGGACCTCAGGACTCACATACTCAGAAGAACAAGAGGCACAACTGTCACCCAGTGGGGCCTCCGTCGGCCAGATGGCCCTCCATCGGCCAGGAATGTCATGCCCCAAACCGCGTCTGTGCCACGTAGACAACCGTCGTACAACCCAACAAGAATAACCGCAGTTCATCCTTACTAAATTGCACAAGACGTCTCATAGATATATATGCCAAAACTAATTAGTAAACATACATAACAACATCAACATACAATTAAACACATAGCGGAATATAGTGTTTAATAAGAACCCACACAAGGGTAAAACAAGAGCTCGCAGGCTCCATTAATTTATAAGACAAAAATAGTTCCATGAGCATTATTTAATTATTTAGAAATAGAACCAGAGGAAGCACGAACCACGTCTGTTGGTTTACACCTTTAACGTACACGCTTTGAGGAGTACGCATACACCCTTATCCTATGAGTACGTACACTCTCATCCTATGTGTAATTTGCTGGAGGTTAACACATCTCAAGGGCTACACGGGCCCTTGTTACCTATATGCAATTTGATGGAGGATACCACACCTCAAGGACTGTACTTGCCCTTGTTACCTATGTGTAATTTGCTGGAGGTTAACACACCTCAAGGACTACACGAGACCTTGTTACCTAAATGAAATTTGATGGAGGTTAACACACCTCAAGGACTGCATTTGCCCTTGTTACCTATGTGTAATTTGTTGGAGGTTAACACACCTCAAGAACTACACGGGTCCTTGTTAACATTTGAGTATAAAGGACTCCTCCTGGTCCTACAGAGAATTACCTGACCTTACTCGGTCCCGGGTATTCACCCGCCATGTGTAATCTACCACTACCTCGTTCGGTCGTGGTCTATAATTTCTTTACTAACGACTAGTCCAAGTCTTAGCATTTAAACTGTATTTCAAGTCTTAGCATTTTAAACATCACATTTCATGCAATTCCATGCAAAATATCCATATATAGGATGGTCGGGATTAATCTTGCGTCGAACCGAGTCCGGTTTGGGTTTTTAGAGAAACCCGGTCCCGAAAGTCGAGACTGGACCGGCGCCGGTTCGCTGCCTGACCGGCGCCGGTTCACTGATTTAAATTTAGAACCGGCACGCCGTACTCAAACCGGCGCCGGCCCAATGTGTTGGACCGGGTCAACGCCCCGTTGACCGCCCGAAATGACTCCGATTTCTACGAAACTTAAATACAACATGTATTAAATCATAATCAATCATTATATGCCATTTTGGTCACTCAAAACATTTCTTATGTTTTTTATAATATTCCAAATCATTTTCATGTATTTCGCTCTAGTTTATTTCTCATAAACTAGATTACTTTCATAACTTGCATAATTATGCACTTTTAATTCTTCTCAAGAATACCATCTTCAATTCCATTTATTCACTTCATAAAATGAGCCTCTCATGATCATCATCCAATTGGAATATTTTATTCACAAAAAATGTTAATCGGGTCATTTATACTAGTTAATCATTCTTGTATATTACTCTAGTTTATTTCTCATAAACTAGATTATCTTATCAGCACGTGTACTTAAGAATTTCTTAATTCTTCATAAGAATATTACTTGAATTAATTTGGTCATTTCTTAAATGAGCCAACAACACATTTATATTAATTAATTATAGCTTGTAAATTTCCCTAGTTTATTTCTCATAAACTAGTTTTACTTTAGTGACTTGTATGATTTAATACTTAAATCCTTCACAAGAATATCATCTTGATTTTCCTTAGCCGTTTCTCAAATAATCATTCATGATTATTCTTCATCAAGAATATTAATAATTCTTTACTCATTAATTAATCATGCCACTTTCACTTAATTTATAATCAATATGGGTAATCATATGTTTAAACACTTTTAAACATTTCTATACATATTCACATACTAGATTACTCTAGATGTCTCATACATAGTTCATGTATTCATTTTTATACATTTGACAATAATATATTCATGATTAATCCACAAATAAATCTCTTATTCATTAACCATGTAATATTTCCATTATTCATATTTACCATGACTAATCATGCATTTTAATCCATTTAATCATTTCTCAAATCATGATTATGATTTTATTTAGGTAATCCCACATTTGACCCAAGAGTTACAAGACACGTAGTCGTTCATTCACCTCGAAATGACGCTAGCGACCTTTTATCCTCTTCGTTGAACTCCGGCGACTTTTGGAATTTTCCGGCGAAAACTCGGGCGGCTCCGGTGACTTTTCCAGTCACTCCTAGATTCCGTGAGAAGTCTAGAATACCTTGGCAAAATTCCTAACAAGGTTTCACAAACCAAAAGTGGTATAAACATTAAAACCTTCCGAGAAGGTGTTTTCCGGCGAACCGGTCTTACCCCGATCATAACTCCGATCATGGTTAAAACTATTCTTCCAACCCCTCATTCTACACCTCTAGGAGTGTAGAACAAGATTATGGGTCTATCATATGATTTATAAAATCATATGAGATTAAATGAAGAAAGAAAAATACTAATGAGATCATTACCTTAATTAATAAAGGTTTTTCTCCTCTTTTACCACTTCTTCTTCTTCCTTGAGCCCTCTTCTTGCTTGAGCTTGATTATGGCTATGGAGGTAAGTATTTTCAGATCTCTTCATCTCTTTTGGGTAGGTTTGGCCGAAATAATGGGGGTGTGGGGTGTGAGGAGATGGGTTTTTGGCCTTTAACACCAAATGAGGTGGAGAGGGTCCCATTTCCTTCCTAATTAATTCTCATGCATCCCCCCATCAAACTCCAGCCTTCCTCTCGACCGTTTTCTTGCATAATTACGTGGGGTGGCCCCCACCCACGTGGGAGGTCATCCCAATGTGTCCTAAAATGTACATTCGTTTCTGAAAGTTGTATTTTCTAGACTCTTTTAATTATATTTTATTTTATCGAGTCAAATACAATATGAATCATTCTTCCAATTAACATTGGACTCTAAAATGAATATATATATATATATATTATTCAACTTTAATTTCGTGGTTCTCGGAACTTATTTCGGGCTGTTATCTGTTAAATTATCAATACTGTAATGGGACATCGTTTGCTCAATAGGCCAACTCTAGGGCTCAACATTAATTTACACCATCATATAAATATCATCTAGAGCAAGATGAATATAATATGTGGTCCCGGAAATATCGGTTGGTCCTCGCTCTCGGTGCGGGCCCAACGTGCATTTTACTGTTAAAATAACAGTATAAATGGGAACGTGCTGTTTCGTAATTTCATTCGTCGTTTCTCATGACTCAATATGTGGTTTCATATTTTTTGACACTTTAATAAAATGTTACACTTCTTTTTAAGTGGTCCAAAATGTATGAACAGATAAAATCTTATATGTTTGTTCCCAAACCAAAATATCTTTAAGGTAGGGTCCTCCAAAAGTATCCTCCTTTAATGTACCAAATTAATCATATATATATATATATATATATATATATATATATATATATATATATATATATATATATATATATATATATATATATATATATCAACCAATTGTTTTGGATTCTTAAAATATTCATATTAATTTCTTCTGTCATTAATTCACAGTCTTTCGAATTATTAATAGTCCGGAAATTAAGAGCTCGTAATTATCGATTAGTGGCCTCGACACATGTGGCCGTCTAGTTGTCATTCTATATATCATTGGGGTCCACGACTCATTCCTACTATCAAAATAGTTTTGTTTAGATCAACATTAA